AGCTACTCAGTCCATCTGCAGATCAGATCATGTGCAAGTACAAAATATTAACAATTAGCTTTTACAGAGGACTCTCTACTCCATTGATCTTGAAGCATTTTACAAGGAGGTCAATCCCGTGGGGCTAGTTCCATTTTAAGAAGGAGAAATAAAGCCACAGAATGATGGAAAGGCCTGGAACAACAGGGCAGTGGCAGAAGGAAGTCGAGGGTGCCCAATTCCAGTGGCCAGTTTTTTGGTCCATCTCCTCTCCTCTGTCCACTGACATTGGGGCAGTAGAAAAGAGGTGAGTACACAGAAAACTGCTGCGTTACGAGGACAGCAGTCAGTCTGTATCTAAAGTTATGGGAGAGCTCCAGTGTCAAGGATTGCTGTGTGACAGACTGCTGAATAATGATTTATTCTCTTTGGAGGACGGAGTTATCTGGGTTCTGTGTGGTAAATTCCTGAATTTGAGTGTTTTGCTCTGCAAATGAGACATTCACCAAATGAACTTTGTTTCTTTCTGTGTTTAAACACCAATTTAATTACATAATACAAGTAGTGTATATATGTTAGGAAAGCTTACAGGGGTCTGCTTTACAAACTCATTCAAAAAATCACCTGTTTCAGCTTTAACTGCTGTTGTGAATGAAATCCTGTATTAGCAGTTCTTGGCAGGGCTCTGGAAACACCAAGATACCATGAAATCATCGCAGCAGCTTTTTCAGAGAAGATAAAAGAGTTCAGCCCAAGGGTTTCTGCAGCACCTTCACCAGGGTGACCAAAGGTTCCCTGAGGATGTCTTTGCCACCACGGGTACAGGAGGCTACAGCTGGGTCGGCGTCACACCCACGCCCCAGACCCTGTGTCCAGGGGAAGGAAGAGAGGCACTGTTACCCACCCTGCCTCACCAGAAACCTAGGCTTGGAGATTCTGTAAAAGGCATGACAAAACCATCGTTTGCCTCAGACATGTACAAGAAATCTTAAAAAAAAAATAAATGCGTAAGCAAAATTGTCAAGGCTGGCAGAGACAGGCTGCAAACTTAGCTGTTTCAGTGTGAGTCAGGCTACCCTATGTACTTCTTAGTTACACTGCTGGTCACCCTAGAAATCCCTCAGTCAGGATTTGAGGACAGAAACGGGAATGTTTTCAAAAGCACCGTGTCACTCACTGCTTTACCGTACATCTACAGATACGTGCTCTGAAGGCAAGAACAAGTCAGCATGGCTTAATCAGCGTTTAGTCAACACGTCAGCTCCAAACCGTGAGCACTCTACACTTCAACGAAAAAGCATTTCCAACAGTCAAGGTTATTGGCGCTGCACAGTGCTCACATGAAGCGTTCTGTGGCTTTGGGCTAAAGGGCTTTCACTTTCTGGCAGAGAGCTGTGTCGGAACAAGCTTTGCTGCCAATAAATTTCCTCTTGTAAACATTGGAATCTTACTGCCTTTCAGGGGGCTGGGCTCCTTAGCACCAAAACCTGCTGTTATGCGGGGAATAGAGTTATCCAAGAGTACAAAATAAAAAACCAAAAACCTATAGCCACTGACCTTACTTGGTTACTTTACCCAATGCTGCACTCCTGTACCTGATTCTGGCTGATTTCAGAAGGAATCAAAGCTCAAATCCTGGAAAAGGAGCCAAGTCTTACGCTCCTAAATTAGGCACTTTGAAAATATTACCCCTTAGGCTTTAGACCGCTTAATATAATTTTCACAAAGCTGCTCATAGCACACAGTGGGATTACAGTAACTAAAATATCATGGTGCACTGCATTGGCAGTAAGATGTGGTCTCCTAGATCATGCTATTCATAAATAACTTAGGACGACTATAAAGTGAGTGATTATTAAATAGCACTGAGACTTATATAGTCCAGGTAATGGCCACAATTGCATTCCTTCATTAAAGAAAACATGCCAGCACTTGAAAAGACAAAAAGATAACTAAAAAGTTGTTTCCAAGGGTCCAAATCACTAGTGTTTTGTCACCTAATGGTGGTTGTTTTGCAGTGAAAAATGCATGTTGAGACATTTCTCTTCCATAGGTTTCTGGGGACTTGTCAACAATGCAGGAATATCAACATTTGGCGAGACAGGGTGGCTGCCTATGGAGAAATATGAAAAATTTGCAGATGTGAATCTCCTTGGGAGCATCAGGACAACTCTGGCATTTCTTCCCCTTCTAAGGAAATACAAGGGTAATGCTAATCCACTGTTATTTAGAGTAGTAGAATAATTAGCTTACTATAATCAGGGTAACGTAGCATCTATAAAAGAAGCCTTAATTGTCTCTCATGGAACTGAAATGACAGCCTCCTTCTGTGTGGCCTGAAAGAGCAACCTGATCCTGAAAAGAGGGTAAGTCGTAAGGCGAAAAATACCCTTAAAGATTCTGTCTTTACAATACATAGAAAAAAGTACTTAAAATAATGAATTATCTCAGTGTTTGAATCAAAAAAAGAGAGAAAAAAATGCTTACAGTAGATCATTAAGCCCAGGCAAGACTTTGTAAGCACTGACAATCAGAAAACACAAAGATCCAATAAACTCCTGCTCAACTTATTTAGGCTTTACTGTTTTACTGTTTGGCAATTGGGAGAGGAAGGGTGATCCTACAGAGATGAACTAGAGACATCCAGCTTCCAGGCCTAGCAAGATCCTTTCTATGACCTTGGGCAGGAGACTTCAAGTATGTGAAACAGTGCTGCACAGAGATGCCTGGGTTTTTAATGGGATGAATGCATTTGCACAGACCTTCATACGCATGGGCTTTATCCTTTCTTCTGAGAAGAAATGGTTCAAATAGCCCTCTACAGCATTGCAGCATGTCTCAATTGCTTTGCAATTTGTTCCCTACCTGTCCCCATCTATATCTGGGAAACAAAGATACCCTTTCCCTTTCTCCCTGTTTTGCTTAGCTTGTCTATTTAAGTTGTAAGCGTTTTAAGGTGAGGATTTTTTTCTGTGTGTATACAGCATCAAGTACAGTAAGGGCTAGGTTTCATCTGGAACCCCCAGGTGCCACTCTTACACAAAATGTTGCTAAGATAAAAGCACCCCCTTTTTGGCTACTCTGCTTCTTTCTGCTTGGTTGCCTTTGGTTGATGATATTTTGATGCAAGAAGAAAGAAACTTTTAAATACGGCAAGCTGGATGTGTTTTTGTAAAAGAATGTGCTATTGCATATACTCAGTGAGAAGCAATGGATGTGTTATGTGGCCATTATGCAGGGAGACAGCACTTTTTTTCTGTGATGTCCTACTTACTGCTAAAACTCTGTGAGGCTGATCCACCAGAGGCATTTGTCTGACTTTGTGAATTGCAAGGGGTTACTTTGAAGCGAAAGGGACTAATTATGTGCATGATATTAAGCACATGCATAAACTTTTAGAAGATTTGGGTCTGGGTGGCTGCACATACGTAGTACCATATCTCAAAAGAGCGCTCAGCATCTTACTCCTGGCTGTCAATGCTGCCTTGCCCACACTCCATTTTCAAGTCCCATCTATGTAGGAGAGGAGGCCAGGGCAATTCTAGGAAGAATCCTACATTTCCCTTCTCCTTCCTTGCAGGAATAGCCAGGACAGCTAAAGCTCATGTTTTCAGGGGCAGCAAGTGGCCTCTCCAAATGAAAAGCTTGAATTATGGATGTTAGAGCGTTCTCCTGGGAAAGCTGGTTTTCAATTACCTTAGGCAAAGAGAGAAGTTAAATGATGTGTCCCATATCGTGGGTATGTGCCCCACATCATTTAGCTACTGGCTGAAGGAAGCAGAGGTCATCCTACCATCACTTACCCAGTAGCTGTTTTCTGAAAGAAGGGGCTTACTGCCATTTTAGGATGAGCACCTGTTCCAAGGAAAACTTCAAGATTATTAATACTTGTAAAGGGAGGTATTGCCTTCCAGCCTAGAATTAAGCATCCTGCTCTGAGAGGAGCAACATTTCCCCATAACTTTTCCAGATGGCCAGGCCAGCTGATGTAGCATCTTGATCAGCAAGCTGGTAGTTGTTCTCCCGTTATTGTATGTAAGATTTATTCGAGACGCTGTGTAGGAAGGCTTGGAACCTAATTCAGAATGACAGATTTCACTGCATTCCCACGATACCCTTTTGATATCCTACAACCTTATACCATTTGGTCAGATCTGGGGCCCAGATGTTACCTGCATCTGTGGCAGCAATAGGAGTGCAACTATGTTCTCTGTATTGTTAGCGACGAGGCCATCTTCTCCCTCACCTCTGGTATTTCTATACCCACATTCACACATTTCTTCCTCTATGGTATGACTATGTGATAGAATTTTACTAGTACACAATGGAAATGAATGACAGCCTAGGGCCTCAAATCAGAAATCTCTGCTATTTAAGGCATGCCTGCACTCAGCAATAGTTATAAAGGGGAAAAAAGCAGCACGGATCAGGGAAATCACAGCAAGCAGCGTAAAGCTGCACACATTTTGTCAAGTCATCTTTCTCTGGTGAAGCTTATCACTGTACAGTCTGATTTTGACTTTATAGGCACAGTTGTAAAGCAATTCTCAGAGCAGAGACATCATTAGCGCAGAAAGAAATGGTATTAGTAGTCATATATCCACCACAGGGAAAATCATCTGCTCCTCTCCTCTGCAGTCATTCTCCTATTACTAGTACAGTCTTTTATTACTATTTTTCAGTCTAAAGTTTTTAGGGGACTGCTTTGTTTCTCTCTCTTTCCTCCCGTCTCAGACTCGAAAGGACTAAGCAGCATGTTGGGAAGGTGTTACACTTTGTCTAGTCCAGCATCTGTCACTGGATGGAAAGAAGATTTTTGTATGAAGTTCTCTGCTTAACAGAGCTGAGTGCACTTCTCTGCTGGGACCGCACACTTACACAGCCCAGCCTTGGCACACTGTGTAGTAAAACAGCATCACGCTAAACACCCACCTTATTAGCAGTTCAGAAGACTCAGGTAAATCAATACTATGTTAAAGACTGAGAGTGAAGTTATGTTATTTGTACTATTTTCTTTCCAGGACGTATTGTTTTCATGTCCAGCATTATTGCCTATTTTGCTCTGGGAAATGGCATTTATTCTATGACCAAGGCAGCTATTGAAAAATTTTGTGATGCTCTAAGACTGGAAATGAAGAAGTTTGGTGTCCGGGTAAGTGATGTAATGAGTAGCTGTTGTGTGAAACTCCCTGCTATTTCTAACATTGATTTTTATATGAGAAAGAGAGAAGTTTCACTCCTGAAACTTCCTACAGAGCCAAAATGCATCTTTTTGTGGGGAAAGAAGCAAGCGACTTGCACAAAGAATACCAGACAACGGCATGGGGGGGGTGAAAATTTTGGCCAAGGTTCCGTATGCAAAATAATATCCAATCTTGTGCAAAGTAAGATCCATGCATCCAGATGACAAAGACAGAGATCAGAGCTGAATCCATGGGTGCACCTTCCCCTTGGAAGGAGGTGGTTTCTCTGTGGCTAATCAGTGAGCTGGAAAACGCTAGGAACAGTGGACCTGGGTGATGCTTGCAGTTCTGAGAAGCTGTGGGATAGCGCTCCTGCTGTTTTGCTGGAGCAAAGAGCCCGGGTGTGAGCAATGTGCAGCAAAAAGGAAGGCTTGTCACCTACCTGAGGGATTCTTTCCCTCTCTTTCCTCTCACAACATCAGTGCTTAAAAGCTCTTTTTTTTTGTGGGAAGAGCTACACTGCAAGAGGCAGTATTGTGCAGAGTAATTATGTTTTTATTGTCTTAACCTAAGAGGCTCTGAGTGCTCTTAGTGCCCTAAGCAACACTGATAGTCAAACCTGAAGCTTAGATCACTGAGTAGCTTCACTAGGCTTTTTCCTTGGAAACAGTCCACTGCTGGAATGCTCTTCTCAAACACTACAAGTCTTCCCTAAAGGATTTACATTGGTGTACTCTTTACGTACACAGATTTACAGCACTGTTCATAAGCTTTGTGTTGGAAGAAATTACAGCTATGCATCTATTAACTGCCCCTCTCGGATAAATAAAAAATGCTATAAAATGCAAGTGATTTTAGACATCCTAATACCACACAGCATGATGAGGATTTGAACCGATTAGCTGAGGATAATCTCAAATGCATGGAAGAGCTTAGTTTAACAGGTTAACTACTCTGGTCGTTTGTGGATTTTTACTGCTCCCCCACTCCCGGAATAGCCCCAGCACGCAATACAGTGAGCCAGGCTGACAAACATTTCCAGAATATCTATGACAGTTATTTTTCTGTTTCTCACTGTATGCAAGACGCTGGCTGGCATTTGTCTCAGAACCTACCCTGCAGAGAGCCTGCAGAATACACGGTCCCTCTTCCCTGTGCTCCCCTGCCCTGTCGTTCCCTTTGTCCTTTCAGGAGAAAGTCACCCAGAGGTGGCAAGGAACAGATGGAGCTCTGTCCCACTGAACTCTGGCCAGGCAAGCTGGCTGCCTACAGGAAACAAAGTATGTGCCTTCTATTAGAAAGAAGGCTACAGAAAATCAAGGAAGGGAAATAAAAGCATCATCCCTCCTAGCTGACTCCAAAAAGCTCCAAAACATGAAGTTTTCAAACCTTTGTTGTTTAAAATAAACATGGGAAGTTTACTATTGGCATTAGTTTGGCTAATACTAAACGCTTTTGAAAATAGCGCCCAAAGGGAGGGCTCCAAAAGGTGCCCCGTGACAAACCTACCTGAGGCAGCATAAGATGCGCCCAGCTATGCACGCCGTTTCTGCTGGAGCTTACCCATATCCCTGCCTGCTCTCTGCACATGGTGCCTCAACCGCTCCAGCATCCAGCGTGCCGATGGCCGTGCAGGCACGTGCCGGTACTGACGCACAGGTGGTAGCCTCTGGGAGATGGGCCGGGTGGTAGATTGGAGACATTAAAGTTTTATATTACCACAGACTTTCCAGAGAACGCCTGTCAGATCCCCAAGTCTCTTACACAGCTCGGCACCATTTTTCCTCGCTTTGTGTTGTAGCCTTTAGAAATGGGGCCACTTAAATGCCACGGAGTTTTTAATGTTGCATATCTACAAATCGTTTGAACAAGCCCACTGCTAACTGAGGAAAAGCATGCATACTGTGAGTGCTCAGCCTGCTCTGAAATTCCCCAGAAGCCTCAGAACAGCAGCAGCAACAACACAGGCAAAGAAAACAGGCAGAGCAGCAAAGGATTTCTTTGCTTTCAATTTAAATCTACATGCACAGAAACCTATGGAAATTTGTTAATGCCTTCAGTGAGAGCTAGACCAGGACCCTTGGTCCCCTCTGTACTTGGCTGACAAAGCCTATTTTCCTTTTAATTACACCTATTTGGGGAAAACAGCAATTCTTTCCCCAGGACCTTCTAAATTTTCTTTGACATCTCCTTTTGTCCCAAATTGGGACAAAAAATTACCCCTTGCGAGATTTGCCGCTGAGTGAAAAATCCTACGTGTTCCACTTTGGAGACATCAAAGTCATACTGAAATGCTTTGTTTTGGTATTGTCAAAACATTTATACCATTAAGCATTCTATAAAAATCAAAGATGCACTATTGCATTCAGTGGAGGTATGCTGAGTAGTCAAAACAAGAACATTAACATCAGAGTGAAATGAGGAAGTCAGAATAAAGCACCTCTGCAATCTTAAATGTTTCACGGGAATATATTTGATTTCAGTCAAGTTTTCAAGGTTGAAATTTCAACAAAGCAGCATTTTCTGGAAGAAATCTGTCTGCAGAAAGCTTTGATCTGTTTTACTGACTATAGTATTTAATTGAATTCAGAATGACTGATTGCATCTTGATAAGTTTTACATCTTGCTTTTAGGTCTGTATTATTCAGCCAGGAAATTATGCACCCTCTACCAAAATTCAGCCACCAGTTAGTGCCGAACAGATTTGGAATGAACTCAGTGAAGAGGAAAAGTCAGTTTACAGTAAGGAGTATGTTCAAGAGCGGGCAAACTTTTTCAACAACATACTCAGCGAAGGAAGCACTAATAGCAATGAAGTTGTAGATGCTATGGTAGATGCTTTAATGTCTCCTGCACCCAAGGCGCGTTACATGGTAGCAAAGCTGAAGGAGAAAGCACTGGTGTTTGTGTGTGCTTTATTCCCGACCGTTGTGATGGATTCAGTTTTGTCCTATGGTCTGAGTAAAGTAAAACTTGCATAGCCTATGTTGGTACTATTCAGTGACTCAGGCGGGGCAGTTTTTTAAAATGTGAAAGCCAGGGCTGAATCTAACGTCCCCAAAAATCAGTATAATGACACCAATTGCCTGATACAAACTTTGGAGGGTCTCCCTAGTCAGAACTGTCACTTATTCATAGGGAAAAACCATACAGGACCCCATGTAAAATTAATACATTTGTTTAGGTAACTTTATTTCCCCCATGTGGAAAAAAAAAATATGGCTACTTATGCTGCTTTAGGTATTGCCTAGAAAATTTAATGCAGCTTTCTCTAATGCAATACCAGGTTACTGTGTTACAGACATGATGGAGGCAAAATGGAGCATATCCTACAGGGCAACTGCATGCCTGGAATCATTACAGCAGAGATGAAAATACCTTATTTGTAGGAACCTGAGTAGTAATTTATTAGGGGCGATGGGAAGAGGTTAATGGAAAAGTTAGGAATGAGCAATAGACCTTGAAATACTTTGAATGGAGTTAAGTGGCTGTAGAAAGTAGGAAGTGTCGAATAATAAAGCTGTAATATGGAAACAGTGTCTTGGCTAACTACATTTCAGTACTTTTTGAGGTGTTCTAGCTGAATCTATAACAAAGCCAGTACGGCATGGACTTTGGAAAATAAGTAACGTTCCATTTACAAATGAATATTCAATTGTAAATAAACTCTGTTTTTATCTAATGTCTGTATTAATCAATGCGTTAACCTCAAGTGTAGTCCAAGAGCTGAACACCAAGGTGCCAGGTATCCGTATGCAGTAGCAACCTGTAGCTTAGAAAGAACGTATTCAGCCTGGAGCTCTGGTTTTGCTCCTGTTCTAGGGAATAAGGTCTGATGGAAACACACATCTATTAACATGAACAGGAAAACTTTAGTAACGTATCTATGAGAGTAATTGAGCACAGTGGCTTCATTAGCAGTCTCTGACTGTTGTGGAAAAGATTGCTGGTTTACATGTACACAGTTTTAAATTTGGCTTGGTTGTGGCCTGGCACAAAATCCAAGAACTCTGGGACCAAAAGATCCCAGAATAGCTGGGATCAACTGTGGTGACGGGGGTAGATACAGGGCAACAGCATGGAGCATTAGCCTCCCCCATGCCAGGTCTCCCATATCAAACCGAAGACGCTGCTGTAAGGTGACCTAGTTAACTTTTTGATCTGAACCAGAAATAGCATCCTGTACCTGGGAAGTCTTTCCTAATATATTTAATTAATTACTGAGAAAAGTTACTCTCTCTTGTGGTGGGTAATTGGGCAGTCTGAGTCAGGAACATAGGCGAGGACAAGCCAGGGCTCCCACCTGTTCCACAGCCCGTCAACAGCAAGATAATCAGATGATTATCATCCACTCTCCTCATTTAACCACAGCTGAGCAAGGCCAAGCAAGGGAATAAGAACAAGACTTATTCCAACCGAACCAATTGATTTCTGGTATAGGAATTCCCCCTGCTTGACCTCAGGGATTTCAGCAGCCTTACATTGCTTTGGAAGAGTTGCTTTCATGCTCTTAGCCGTTCTTTGTGCAGATTACCCTTCCTTACAGTAAGTAGCACTGAACTCAAGAAGCGGCTTTGAAACCCAGATGTTTATCCACCAGGCCCAGGATACATGTGCTTCTCTCTGCCTCAAAGACAATGTCGCTTTCCATTACATGGTCTCCCTTCTATTTGCATTTCTAAAAGCTACTGCAATAAGTTGTTGCTGAGAGCCAGCACCACCAGAAGATCTGCCTCCCAGATACCGACGACACAAAATAACTTCCAACTGAAAATCCCTCCTTTATTTGCTGTGTACGTGGTGAAGCACATGATCAATATTTCAGTAGCCTCATGTAACATCAGATGCGCAACAGTCCAGAACATTTATTCCTTCGTCTTGAAAACTAAGAACTTGCAGTGTGTGGTATCTCACATGGGGTACGGTGACAGGCCGGATGAGAACAGATGGGACAAACGAAGGCAGTTTGTATTTTCATCGCTCTCTAACCTGCCAGCATGGAAGCTAACCGAAAAACAGCTACACAATTATTATTTTTCGTCTTCCCCCCTCAGCTTGTTAACACTATGTGAGGAGTGCCTCCCTCTTATCCAGTAACCCTGGAATCGCCTTTACCTCAAGTCAAGTTAAAGCGCAGACGCATACAAGAAGCCTGTATTCACAACATCCAAAATACGCAATAGTTACAGTGTTTCAGGAAAAACTTAGGTGACAAAAATAAATGAGAAAAACCCCCACTCTGCTGACACTACTTTTAAATCTGAAATGCTCGTCTCTCAATATCCAGCTAACCTGCTGCAGGCGCTTTCCTGGGATTGTTTTTCTATATAGCATTCATTTCAGATTGCATTCAACAGAGAACTTGTTGACAGAACACGTTAGCTTTTATCACTACTCATCTTTTATAAGCCCTACTGACAGTTTGGGAAAAAATTTAATTTTTCCCTTGAAAACAACCACCACAAAAGAGATGCAGCTTTCCTCCCAAGTCTCTTCTCCAGGGACAGTGTCAGGGACCTAACAAAGTACGTAAGCAGACGGGATACCACCATGGGTTATGGAGCTAGCTGTATGAACACGCACAGGGATTTTACAGAGGTTTGGTCAGGAGGTAAATTCCAGCCATTGTGGGGCTTTCTTACTCAGCACCTACATCAGTTATTTCATGGATTTTCTCTTCTATGCAAGGCTTATTCATAAAAGCGCATATTAATTGGCAGAAAGAATGAGCATTGGTTTTGGTGGAAAGCAATTACAGAAAGAGTATAAAGAAGAGCAAAAAAGTTAAGCTAAATCAGTTTAGTAAGTTGTGCATTGATCTGAGTGATATTAACAGCTTCATACAGTGTCATCAAAAAAGAAACAGAGCGGAGCCCAGGAAATCCACATATAACACAAGGAGTAGCAGGGTATGACCTACCAGCACAGTTTTGAGGTGGTTGTGCTGCTGCGTGAAACAAAGATCCTCTCCAGAAGTTTGCTGTTCCATCTAGATGCAGACTATTCCCCTGACTTGAGAGGGCACAGTTTCAGAAGTGCCCCCATGACAACTCTCCCGCCCAGGCCACGGGCTCTTCCAGCGGGTAGAAGAGCTGTACCTCTGCACTCACGGTCAGCGTTGCTGTGGGCATCACCACACACACACCACACACCCACACCCACCCACCCACC